TGCTAGACTAAGTCGTGTAGGCCAGATCAAAGGCCAGTTCTTCCCAAAACTAGCAGACCTTTTACAAAGCATGAGGGGCTTAGCGTTTGTGGAAGTTGTATACTGAGCATTTCAACTATTGCTGAAAAAGTGGTTTACTACTGAACACCTGATACCCACCAAAGAAATGTGATAGGAAAACATGAGCACTTCAGTATGTTGCAGTTTACAGTTTTGTTCTTTAATTGAACACACCCTAAAATGAATACAAATTGGGGTTGTACATTAAAGATCATTTTATTGTAGTTTTTAAGATGTTACATTAGAAAAGAAATGATCTGACTGTTAAGAAACTTTGACGGACATTCATTGCCTGATTTGTGCTGTTCGTTAATTTAAGGTTCACAGCACAAATACTTGTTAATTACCAAAGAAACAATAAGAAAATAAATTAATATAAAATAAATATTTATATATATATATATATATATATATATATATATATATATATATATATATATATATATATATATATATATATATATATATATATATATATATATATATATATATATATATATATATATATATATATATATATAAATAAAGAAATCTGACATGACAAGTGTGTTCAAGAAATTTACGATAGTCAAAACTAGGTCAACAACCGCCCATGTCAGAAATAAAAGGGTTAAAGGGTGGAACAACATTTGCCCATGGCTCTATAAATATGCTTGCAAAAAGTGAGATGATTTTTTGCAGTTTTTATGTTTAACTGATAAGCTGAACATCCGATGCTGAGTTACAAATATTGCCTAATGTGTTTTGCTCCGTGCTTTGTGCTCCGTGAATATTTTCCAACAGAAAGATTTCACATAGGTGTGAACATGGCTCTTTTTTAACATATTAAAACAATGCAAGAAAACATTACAGTTTTAGCCTAATCCATTTGCCTATATTATGTCGTATTTCAAAATTGGTCGTTTCAAAACAAAAATGTGCCCCTCCCATTAACTCTCTAGTGGCGCATGCTTTACGAATATCGCCATTTCCCAAAAGCGCAGTTGTTTTAGTTAAAAAAAAAAAAACAGTAATTTGCTTTTGTTCTGTTTTTCCACTATTCCAAATCTACACATTTCCTCCTCATACACATTTCGTTTTCATTGTTATTTTGTTTTTGAGTCACTTTTCTCCAGACACTTTCCTCCCCCCTTAAACTGAGATGAGATGTGTCAGTTGGTGGTCATATTCAAAAGGCTTTTATTGTACAATGGTGTTTCTATGTGAATTTGTTTGAGCTCTGGGTTCGAAGGGACCCCCTGTGCGGCGAGAGGTATTGTTAAGAAAAGGCCAGCGGTGTTCCAGAACTTGGGCTTGACCAAAGGTGGTGTGTGAAGAGGATGGAGCCATTCCCAGCATCTCCTCTCACTGTAAGGCAACATCTCAAGACCTCCGAGCACCGGTTTGCCCACAAACGATCACGGCAGACTTGAGCAGGGATGACATTTTTATTTTGTCACAGACCTAAAGTCCTAAATACTTTCCCACCAGGGGCAGAGGGCGAGAGGGGGAGAAAACAATTGAAAAAGTGGAACAGCTTCTTTGGCAGTGGATGTGGCCTGGGACCCCCCTCTGTCATCATATTGTCTGGTAGAAAATTGAAAACAAAAAAAGACAATATGACCAGTCCTTGACAGAAGGATCCATGGTGTTGCACATGTCTCATTAATGAGGGCTGTTATATTGTGTTCTCTGAAGTTTTGCTACTCTGTTACCCTGGACGTCTTGGACGTTTTCGTAATTAGAGTAATAGTCATCTTTAATTAGTGATAGCTGACAGACAAAAGAAGCCTTTTGTGATCAACCCCCTGCCTACATTTAAACATACTATAATCAAATAATTGTTCCAACATTTACAACGTAACCCATTTACAACAAAGCCATATCTGCAACAATTTCCACCAGCCAAATTGTGTGGCAATAACATGTATTGCAGTCTCAAACATATAATTTATAAAAATAAATGTGCATTTTAATGTATTAATTTAATTTAAACCACAGTCCTATATATAATTGTGTATTTTCCAATAATAATAATAATTGTAACTTATATATATATATATATATAAAATATATATAAAATTTGAACCTACAGCACAAAATACAAATCACATTTGGTAGTATGGTGGATGGAATCAATTAATTATTATTATATTTTTTACTTTAATGTTTTAAAATAACAAAATATTTAGTAAAATAATATTAACAAACATTATTCGTTTGAGTTGTAGCATTATGTCATATCAGTTATCCTTCGTCTCGTTGTGAAACGAGCAGATGTGCTTGTACAGTAGTGGCTTCAGTGATCAATCAATGAATGCATTACTGCAATCAACTAAATTACTGGCGGTGCCATATGGGCCAGGGGCCCATGGTGACAAAGCACTTTTTTGCAAAAAAAAAAAAAAATGTAAATAAAAAAAAAATAAAATAAAATGAACAAATCTGCAAAACATTCAATTTACATTAAAGTAATGCTGTACAGCGTGCACTAAATACTTTTTGCATAGCACTTTTCAGTTTCGAAATCTATCATTCGAGCCCTGTCTGAACATAAATTTGCAACAGCAGGACCATTTCAGTATATTATCGTAAAGGCGTCTTACCTTGCCTTTTCCTCAAAAGCGACAGTCCCAAGACGCCAGGGCTTTCTACTGCAAACACACACGCATCCACACACGCGCACTATACGTCTTTCAGCTCTCAGAGTGGTGTGAAATCCCACCCTATCTCTCTGACTGTAGAGCAGCACATGGCCCCCCTTCATTGATCTATCTTCAGCCTGCCTGATAGGCGTTCCACCCTGCAGGTCACTTCTTCCTGTTTAACCATTGCTTTGTTTTCTTGAGAGAGCTGCGATCATAAGGAGAATTTATTGAGATAGAGATACAGCGGAGAGATGGGGAAAAAAGCACTTCCCTTTTCCCTCTTTCCCCTTGTTCTGTCCAGCGAGACAGGAGGAATGTAGTATGTGCGTGTTAAAGAGCACTGAGTGTATTTGGCCTGGTTAAAGGGGTGACACTGTATAGTAGGGTTATGTTTACAGAAGTATATCCCACATAGCCTGTATTATAATACAGTTCTTCCAAAGTTTCCCTCGATGAGACACAAGGAGAGACACAAAGCTTCAACGCTACAAGATCAAAGGATACGTGTGCCTCTGCTTATCAGTATGTAAATAAACAAATTAGGAAAACTTTCAAACCATAAAGGAATCTGAAATAGTAAATTTGGCCTGTACAAATAATTCTGACAGTATTTATGGCAATACGTAAAATTCAGTTCAACATGGTCTCATCTCGTATGTTGTCTCATTTGGTGCGTAAATCCTTTTTTTTTTTTTTAAAGCTTTTCTGAATTTTGATAGCGAATCACAATTGAATTCTTGATACACAGAATTCAGACATAAATTGGTAACTAATTTGTGGGAAGGGTGCATTTACCAGTGTAACGTTGTCATTATATTTAAATTTTTTAAAACATTTTTTGCACAAAACCATGAATTTTAAATGAGATCTACAGTTGCATTTACGATCACATTGCATGCACATGCCTTTCGGGTTTTCATACATAGCGAACAGTGTATACATAGATTATTGTAGATTTAGAATTTTATCAAAACTTCGCAAAATTGAGTAAAAATCTTTGTACATTTTGTAGAAATAAATGAAAAATACCAGTGTTACTGTTAGCATGTGTAGGCTGGATGACCAGAATATGATTAGTACTGTAGTAAAATGGCTGACTCAGTGAAGATGGAGGCTCTTATCATATGCGGTGGCCCAGCCGGTGGCCTTCCCACACTACCATTTTTTGTACTTGGTTCATGTTTAAACATTTAGTTGGTCTTTATCGCAAGGTATAGTGCAAAAATGCCTGCTGTTTTTCTCTCAGGACTTGTGATGTAAAGTCAAAATCCATAGCAAACTGCAGTGCGTTTAAAGACTTTGTATTGCAGTGTTTTTTTTATATGACATTTTAACAGTGATACTGGATTTTGTGAAAGTATTATCAGTTTAAGAACGAGATGTGCAGGTGCAGAATCGCAGAGTGAATAATTTCCAGAAGGTTCACAAATCTGTCGGGTGGGTGTTGCCCTGCGCTGCCTCCAACAATTGGCTCGCTGCACCTAAGACGACACGAACATCTTTGAATGGCTTTAAAATCAAACAAGCCACAAAACATTTGACTTGAAACAAATGGCATAATACCGAAAATGAAACATTTACAGGGTATTTCAATGAACATTTGTAACACCTTTAGTTCTGCACATGGTGATGCTTGTTTATCACTTTTTAAGAATAAGGAAAGAGTCCTGCTCAGAATATGAGGAAGAGGATGGTGTGAGGGGAGTATTGATTATGTTTTTCGTTGGAGTCACGCTATGAGTGGCCTTGGCCCTATCAGGGTTAAACTTATTACCCTCTGACTTCTTATGACCCCCCCTGACCTTTGGTGTGAAAGCAAATAACGCTGAAAGATGACCATCGGTCAGGCCTCAATGGCCTTCTATTGACCAAACACACACACACACACAAATACAGCGAGGGGGCCAAAAAGGGCTTACATCCAGAGAGGCACACTCCACAAATAATGCCATTAACCAATCAATACAAGAGACAGAAGAGGGGGTGGACACACTGGTTTTAGAAATGTACAGCCTGTAAATGTGTTCTCCATTTGAGAGTCCATGCATAAGTGTGCCATGCTGCTCTAAACGAATATCTGGACATCAAAACTGAACTTTGTTTTGGCAGAGATGGTAAAATCCCTAAAAAGCTCATCCATTTATTCTCTGTTGATAAATAAGTGCAGAAAATGCATTTGTGAATAAATATCTGCATAATGCTGTTCTGCTTATTTCATGCACGTTTCTACAGCTATCACAACAGATAGAGACATGTTTTCTTGTTTTGTTTTTTCGAATGCATAACAGGCGTGCTGCAGTCAAAAATGTTAAAAACATAAATATGCATTGAAATAGAAAAGGAAAAGTTGTGCAATTGCATTCCATCAAGTTACAATCAAGAGTGAAGAGAGGGAATATTTTGCACCACAGCATCTGCTGTTCATGGTGGGGTCAATACATAAACGGTTGTTTACTACTTTACAACCCAGAGAGCAATGCAGTGCATAAAATATGCAAGGCAGAACTTAACCCATGAGAGCAACATTTAGGATAATCAGTTGCATTAAAAGTGAATTGAAGATCTTTTTTTTTTTTTGCAATTAATCACATAGTCCTTTCCAACATTAACAGGTCTTGTTTCGTTAGGACCAACAAAGTAGGATCACCGACAGCATTGCATTGACCAAAAAGTTATTTTGAACAGTCTACGATAGCAACAAGCCAAATAGAATGTACGTGAGAGAGAGCCAAAGGAAGAGAGAAAGAATATCAGAAAGAGAGGGAGAGAGTACCTCGTGGATGCACTGCAGTGGTCAGCCAGGGTGGAGGAGAGAGGCGTGACGCCCAGGAGATGGAGGAATAGTACTCCATGCCTAGAGTGTTAAGAAAAGAGAAGGCAGAAGAGGAGAGAAGAGAGGACCACTAGCTTTAGCCCTGCTACTGTTTTTGCCCTGCTGCCACTGGCTGAGAGCGAAGGGAGCGTCTGATTGGAGCGTGGGGGCTGAAGCCCCTCCTCGTCATCCTCCTCCTCTCTGCAGTCTGCGTTCCCGCCTGTCAGGGTGAGTTAGCCGAGGGAAAGAGAGATGCAGCTCCCCACTCTACTCCTCTTTCACCCCCTCCATCATGGACGGATGGCAGGTGGGACAAGAGCTGCTGGAGTGACCACAGCCACAAATCTCATCCCGACGCCCTTCTTTTCTCTCTTCTTTTCCTTCCCAGACTCTTTTAACTTGTGTAGAAAGTAATAAATTGTAACTATACAATACGATATGCAGGGATGTGGGACAGAAATATGGATGTGAAACCAAGAACGAACGACTGTGGGAGAGGCAACAAGAATTTCAGGGAGTTGGTGGATGAGTGTCAGCAGGTTGTCAGGCAATAACAATGCAAACTGAGGAACACGTTACAGTTCACAAGAAAAGAAAAAGGGAAAAACAAAGGGAAGAGGAAGGAGAGAGCGGGGGCCGACTCTTTTCTTAACTCATTCCCTGTATTTTTTATTCTGGTTTCATTCTTCTCTCTATCTCTCTCTACATTGGCCAACTGATCTTGGCGTCTTCTGTTGCTGCATTTGTCATCCGTTTACACCACTGGACACACAAAGTATTGATTTTTTTCCTGTCCACCTTCTATTTGGCTCACTGCTCTGTTTCCTACACTGTGAGGACCAAACCATTTAAAGTAGCCCGAAACTGAAGGGAAAGGGGGCAAAGGTGTAGCCAAATGTAAAAGTTTAACTGATCATTGAAAAACCCATATTTATCAACCACTATAGTATTGAGTCATATGTGTCCTACTCACTGTCGAAGGTGGTTATGGCTCTGGAGAGGGGAAACTGTAACCCCTGGCAAATCTCTGCTAAAATCTCCAGTGGTAGTAGAATGCAACATAAGCAAAGATTCACCTACTTGGCATAAGAAACAATCATAGATTTATTTATTTATTCAAGAAAGAAACTAGCCAAACTGAGGGTGAAACAGGATTGTGAGTTAGTTGTCTATCAGATTAATTTGGTGGCGTGTGCCATCCGCTCCAAGGGTCATCATGGTTTTGATGGCCAGAAAGGACTTCTTTGACCGCAACTAATGCTATGGATGCAAGGCTTTTTTTTGAGGTGACCTCAGCCCGTATCACTGTAACCCTTTCCCAATTCGCTTTCAGTGTCCGCAGTGTCCAGCGACCTTTAACCCACACGTGTCCCTACCCCCAAGCCCCAGGGGTCTTGCCCCGCAGAAGGGTCGCGTGTGCCAAAAGTCCCAAGAGACTTGAACCCTGTTGTCATGGAGATAACCTCAGGGAAACAGAAGTCCCTTAGCAGTTACATAACACTCATGACCAAGCAGAATCTTTGCCCATATTTGCTAAACATATAAGTGTTTAGCTAAAAAAAGGAACAAACCTTGGCATAGAAACAACAATGGTCAAAGCCACAATTACACTAGTCAAAGCCTCTAGCGAGTATGATTTTTCAACTTCTGACCTTGCTCAAGGATTTACATCTCCTCAACACTGTTGACCAAGCAGAATCATTGCCTGCTGCACTACCTGCATCAGGTATGTAGCTGTGGTGAAGAGCTATCATTGAACCCTGGCAAAGGAACCAAACCAAAGGAGCTTCAATGGAAGCACTGGCAAGTAGAATTTGGTAACTTATAGGGGTTGCACCGACTAATCGACTAGTCGACTTCAATGCTCTGCCATGACGCTTTAAGCTTGACGTCGACTAGTCGCTGGTCCTATAGAGGGTGCAACAGGATAAGAAATCTTTGAAGGACTTCCACATTTACGCTCTGTTTCCAAACAGTTCAAATGACAAATAAATGCATACTCTGAAAGCGCTCCACAAGATGTGTGATTATATTACTGGATGCTCGAAATTGAATGGGAGAATGCACGTTTTAAACAGCTTATTGTACAGGTAAGTTAATCGCCGTTCTAATCTAATGCGCTGCTGCACTGTAACGCACACCGAAAGACAAAATAACTGATAAAAAAGCTGTTATAGGAGCAACAGCTATGTGGGCAGCGCTGTGTCATATGCCATAGCTGTGCACAAGGTGTTTGTCACAGCTCCAGACTTATTTGTTCATTAATGACGTCATCAGCGACTAGTCGACTTCGACTCGACTTTCATCACATAAAAGTCGACTTTAAAAAATCAGAAGTCGTTCAACCCCTAGTAACTTATGAGTTTGAGCAACAATCTTTATACTCAACAATTATGCAAACAAGTCAATAGTAAGTTACTGAAAACATTCAGTACTGCAACAAACTGAAACAGGCCTTTAGAATGTTCCTATGTTTCTCCCAATAGTTGGTGATCAAACTGGTCAATAGTTGGGGATCAAACCGGTCAAGTGTGTCAGGAAAGTACTATGAACTCCAGAGACCCTGATGCACAACCACTGTGATTAAAACGATTTTTCTGGCGCTGACAACCCTGTTAGGGCACCTGATCACCGCACCATGCATGAATTCTGAATCCTGCTTACAATAGGGCCAGGGCGGGTGGAAGCAGTGGGGAGGGCTGTTGTTGTCGCAGCCCCCTAACACTGCATGCACAGGGGCACAAAAGCTGCTGAGGGTGGGGGTGGAATGGAGGTTCACAGGGAGGGTGAACTACGCCATCTGCCATAAAGCTGGTGCGTGTGGGTAGGGGTCGAAAGGGAGGGGCCGCGCTGGTAGGGGTGTGTTAGCCCTAGATGTGTTTGTGCAAGAGATTTACCGGGTCTTCCCTCAAATTAGACATGACCCCCCGAAGTGTAAGCCGCAGGAGATGGCCAATTCCTACCTGCTTGCCTCTGTTTGCTTAGCAGCTTGATAATTAGAGAAATTAGGGACTGTCTGGAGATTAAACAGCACAAGAAGCACACTCCTACAGTATTATTTTTCGCTTCCCTTGCTCTGTTCATCCCCTCTGCTGTCCTATCCATGTGGAAACAGACAAAACGTGCATCAGGAAACATATATGATGTCAAGTGTTCAAGTCATTCATTCACATCATTGACTTGGACATTTTTCTTGTGCACATCATAAACTATAATGAGTTTTTTTGGATTTATAAAAAGACACTCCCTCCCTCATACACACACACACACACACACACACACACACAAACACACCAAGCACAATGGGCAGTGGTTCACGCTTTGTGGAAATTGGGGTGACACTTTTTCTTTAGAAAGGATAACTCTGCTTTGCACCCCTGATAATACATTTCTGGTTATAGAATAAATGCATTCATGTCTACAGAGTTTGTTGAAATTATGAAATAGGTTATGTGTAAATGATGAAGAAAATATTCATCCTGTTTTAAAACATGTATGTACAACAGTATTGTAACAAGTTCCTTAGGC